GCATTCAGAACATAGCAATACAGCACGGATATAGAAGGAACCTGATACACGACCTTGCCCGCGCATAAGTATCACGAATAGCCGCACGTGACACTTCTAACATACAAGCAGCGGCCCACGAAACGCACAACGTAAATGGCACACAGTCTTGTGCGGTAGTTGAGTACAATCACCACCTCAACTCCGTTTACAGGGAGATTGCCGCCCACACTAATACTAAGATTGCATACAAGAGGCCTAGCACTGTATATGGTCTACTCCGCGGTGGCAAAGACAAGATCAATAAAAAGCAAGCACCGGATGTTTACATGGTCCCTCTATGGGACAACAGGTTTCAAAGGAAATTAGTTTATATTGGGTCCACAAAACGCTCTTTGAATAAAAGATTGCAGGAACATAAATACGACATCGTTAATAAACAGCACACCACCGCCCTATCAACATATGCCACTGAACCCGGCATAAGAGCTGACCTACATGAGGCCAAACTGATCAAACTTTCTCACCGGGTGGAACACCTGCGAAATCTGGAGGCACTGGAAATTTACAACGCCGGGTTACGCACCAACTGCATTAACGCTAATGATGCGGTCAATGTGTCACACGCTTGGAAGTACTGCTATGAGGTAACGGGCGACGCCCACTCCAGCAGTTAAAGACCACATCCCCGTTTTGGTGTATTTATTTATATATAATTGTATGTATTACATATGCCATTCCGTCGCCATGGCAATGCACATGCATAACTGTATTCTTTTAAAATCCGTTTGTGCTGTTCCATTATTTTCAAAATAATTTCATAATCATTGTTCTACGCTTACACAGGTTCAAATCTAACAGTTTTAAACCTGATGAAGACCGAAGGTACGGTCGAAAACGTTTGTTTAGTATTAAATTGATTACTACTGGACGTTTAAAGGTTTTAGAGTGTTAATTTATATGCTTTCCAGTATTTACATAAGAAGATTTTAGTAAAAGTCCGATATTTAAAAAAAATCCAGAAAACCTAGCAATATTTGTTGCTGTTTGACATACAATTCCTATGTTTGGTACATTTCTATATATTTGAGATATTTGATAATTTTTAGATATTAAAAATATTTATTTGACTTAATTAAAATATCTATAACCATGAAGCAGATAATAGTAAAAGCTTATCACACCAATGATAATGGGCACAAATGCTCAGGAATCAAAGTAAAAGCATTTAATAAAACAAAAAGGTGGTGTACAATAAGTATCATTGGTGTGATAAGCCCTTACTATTATCTGCCTAACAGTTGTAGATATTTTAATTAATTTAATTATACCTAGGGCTAAAAGCAATTTCTGTAATAACTTTGTTACACCTATAGAATAATTTGCCTAGATCCCAATCGATATTTGTGCATAAGCCCTCATTTATTAAAAAATGAAATAGATAAAATTAACACTGACATCTAGTTGTATCATATGTTGTCACCACTTGTGCACCAGATGTGGAAGGTAACATCTCCTTTGTAACCACTCCCTGAATCTTGTAGTAATGTCTGAACCCACAACTCTGTTGTCTTACTGTTTTTGTTATGTATATAATTTGAACTGTCTGTATAACATTAGTTCATAACTGTAAACCAATAATTCAGCTAACTCATAACTGTTTTGTATCAACACCCTGTACATCATGCTACCATGCAACGTTATGAAGAATTATTACTCCTGTCTACATTGATAATGCTTACTGCTCATACAGTCATGGTGACATTTTCATCTTTATATTGTATAGCTTTAGGCATAGTTTTAATTTTTTTCACCTTATATAAATTTTTTAAGTATACTAAANCGGGATAGTCAGTAAATTTCAGATGAATATCACAAAATTTCACTGTCAGAAACCACGATATCGACATCGAGTATAAATAGGCATGATGTCAATTCATTGAATACTTTGAAAGTCTTTCCTGCTGAGTTGCTCATTGCTAAGTACAATGAGAAGTTTGGACAATGTCGTTAGATTTTGTTTAAAAAAAAAGAAACGGAAAAACAACAAAAATCAGAAATTTAAACTTAAAATCTGTGAAGGATAAAGACATTTCGTGGGCCGTAGGCACAGAAGATTAAGGCCCATCTACATAATTTTACATCATTAACGAATAATGTCTAATTCCAGCTATAGAATTATTTATAAATTATGATATACGACTGCAACAGTAAAATTGCTTTATTTTTTCTAATTTCGGAGTCCGAGATCCGAGTGCCTAGTGGATAATCTGGACTACTTTGGAATCACAAATAGAATATGAAATACTAAACGACAAATTCTATTGTAAAGCAGTGGTGCATCAAGAGTAAAGCCTTGTAAAGCAGTGTAAAGCCTTGATGCGCCACTGCTTTACAAGGCTCTTTCTTTTTCCTTTGAGGGTGCCAAGGGGTTCTGGTACTCTCAAAAGAAAAGGAGAAAAAAACACTAGAAAATTTACCAAAAACTCTTCCCAAATTAAATTATTTTGTTTTTTTATTTATATTGTATTGTGTCTTATGAATTAGCGGTCACATAAGATGGGATTTTTATCGAATTAGCATTAAAATGTTTTTATCAGTTAAAACTCGGCTCCGGAGTGCGCCACTGTTGCAAAGTATTGTTTTTTTGAACATTATTGACTTATATAATAGTTATAATAATTATATATTTATTGTAATTTGCGAAGAGTTTGTTACACTCTACATAGCGAGAATTATTCGTGACGTGAGAATGTTGCTTGTGACGTTTTGTACGGTACACGAGAACAACGACGAGATTTTCGTGCTCGTCCGCCATTTTGTTTTCAAAATGGCGACCGGTTTAATGATTAAGCTCTCTGTTATTAATGTTTCAAATTAGCAAAAGTTTATTTTTATAAAAGAATAATATTTAAAAATTTAGTTTATTCGTGTTATTTCATTATTTTGAATTTTGTTCTATGCAGAAATTATGGTCATATAACAATTATTTCTTTCAGATATTATTATCTCCCGAATATCTTGAAATGAAGAAAATTGAAGCAATTGCACAAAATAATAAAGTATATTTTGGAAACAGTATACCTAATATGTTTCTTGATAGCTGTATTAATTCAAAAATTCCATCAATATCAAAGTCTATTAAAGATGAAAATAAGACATAAGAGGTAAGAAGCCTTTAGTTTTCAATTTTTGAAAATGAAATATTGAACTAAGAATTTAATAACAATTTTAAAATAAAATTTTATTTCATCAAGTGTATTAATTGATCAATTATACATAGGGGAAAAAATCTGCAAATTATTATAGCAATTCTTCTGTTAAACAATTTCCATATTCAGTAAGTGTTTTTTAAAATAAAATTTGTATAAGATAATCAGTGAACAAATCTAGGTACTTTAAACTACCTATGAAATATTGTCAGAAATCTTGTCAAAAAGAGCTAGCACATACAGTGAAACCTTGATTTGTTTTATTCACAACCTGAGAAAAAAACTACAGATATAGGAAAAAGATAGTCATCCCTTGTTTTAATGGATAAAAGGGGGGTAACATTGGTTTGATGCTGCTGATTGTCTGTAAGTTCTGAAACTAAGTTTGCAGTGGTTAATATACATCCACAATTACATTAAGAAAGAAAATAGAATAATACAAGTACAGTACTTTTAATCAAGCACATTATCCAATCTGGCAGTGTAAAATACCTGTACACTGTAAATATCAGGGCTGCAGAGTCAGTAAAAAAAACACTCAACCCTGCCTCCTGATAATTTTAATTGGCCGACTCCAGCAAAATTAAAAAGCAAGTCATTTTATGGGGGGCAGAGGCGCTCATAGGGAGTACCCTACTCTAAACTCTGAAAGGAGTCCCGGGCATTTACCCAAATAATTTTATAGTTAGTATTTTTAATATTTAACATACATTAATATTTATTTGTATAAAAAAATAATAATTTTTAACAAATATTTAATAAGAGGAGAAAGGGGGGAGAGAAAATTCAACATCTACATATCTTTATTCTACAACATTTGCACATCAATTTCACCTTTCCGGAAAAGTTAAACTAAAACGTGTGTGATCTAGCTACTTAACCTTTTGTTCAGAAAATAAAAATATATACTCTGATCAATTAGTTTCACTCATTCAGAAAAATAAGAGTATTCATTTAGAGCAGGGATAATAAAGATGATTCAAAAATATTCAAATTCAATTAAGTCAAAACAATTGAACTACTAAACACAAATACAGTACTACAAAGAAAACTGCATACTTAATAAATTAAGTTGTTTCATTTTATATTTAAAATAAATGAATAGTAACAAAATACAAAACATTTTAAGAAATTATTAAATATAAAATAAATTTTCTTTCATTTAAATAAAAAAAACTAAATTAAATTTGAAATGTCAGTGTCAACACATTCCTCCCAACTCCGATTCTATGACTTCGACTCCACAGCCCTGGTAAATATACACTGTAATATAGTAAGTTCAACATTTTTAGTTTAAAATCAGACTTACTATGGATGGTGATGAGGTGTTGTTGGTTTACCATGATATCATAGTAGGATCTCAGAAATTTATTCTGAGTCATCAGAGCTTTGCAACTCCAATGGTGCTAGGCTGTGCTGGCAATGCAGATGCAACAACAGTGCCTAAGGTAGAGGTGAGGCTGTTTGTTCGTCATGTGATTGTGACATTTTAGAAGCTAGTACTCCTGGTGCATCAGTGGATTGTGGAGTTAGTGGAGGCTTGAAAAACTATCTAACTGCTGACTGTTAACATTAGTAGTTAATTATCTCTGAAATTATTCTTTAATTATCACTTCTTGAAAAATTCTGAGATGCCCATAATGAGCACTGATGTCTCTATTCTTGGTGTATTCCACAAAGAGTGATACAGTGTCCATATAGCTAGACACTTCTGATAATTTTGGCAATGTCACTGGCATCTCATCTTCCTTGTCACTGCTGCTACTCTCCTGGGTACTGACCATCTCTGCAACAATCTCTTTATCTGAGAGTATCTGGTATCCAAGATCACTGTCATTTTCCTCCAGTCAGTCTTGAACATCCTGCAAGGTTGTATCTTTCTTGTCTACACACTGCAACACACAGTGGAAGTCAATGGCTTGAAAACCCTCAAAATCGTATTCAACTCAACATTGGTGAGGAGTTTCTTTCAGCTATTTGTCAAGGTTCCATGAATTAGCAAAGTTAAATATGGTAGATTTAATTGTGTAATTTCTTATGTTTTCAAGTGTAGTCCTCTGGTATCGTTTTATAAATCCTGCTCATTCTCCATGACCACCATAACCTTATCTAAATAGCATCATTGGTATCTTCTCTTACAGGCACTGATGATACCTTGATCCATTGACTGAATGAATGATATAGTGTTTGCAGGCAAATACATGACATGTACTCTGTTGTCAGCACTGGGATGACTTGGTGAATTATCCAAAAGAAGAGCTTTTACATCATCTGGATGAAACTTCAAAATATCTTCCTAGTATCTTTGTACTTATGGAACAAAATGCTTGTGAAACCATTCATAGAAAATGGAAACATTAAACCAAGCTTTCTTAGAGTGGTGGTAATAAACTGGCAAAATGTGCATGTGATCCTTCAGTGCACAGGGGCTTGTAGCTTTCGTAAGAATTACCAAGTCAGTATGTATTGTCAGTGTTAACACAACAAAGTGCCAAAATCCTTTCCTTACTCATTTTTTTTGCTCTTGTTACTTCTTCCTTAGGCAAAGAACCCCAAAATAAGCTGGTTTGGTATTATATAACAGAAGACAACCTTCTTTCTTGATCAGCTCATTAAGCATAACCCGATAAACCTCAGCACGTGCCATATCTGTGCTGCCAGCCTCACCTCACCTTATCTTCATATCATGCAGTCTATGCCTGTTATGAAAACACCATAACCAACCATCACTAACACGGCACTGAATAGCCAGATGCCTACTAAGTTGCTGACATGCATTTTGTATGCTACTGGAAGTTACCATATTACCACAAGCCTTTTGCTGCACATACTGCTTATAAACAGCCTTGTCTAACTCCTTCTGATTACTAACCTCATGTGCTTGTAGGCTGCCATAGAACCAGACTTGCTTGAATATCCTTCAGCAGAATACTTAACACCATATTTGGTAAGCTTAGATCTTTCCTTACACATACCTGAAACTGTTTTTTAAATCAATTTAAGCTTTTGTGCTGCTATTAAATTGACCCTTTTCTACTCTTCCTCCTGAAGACACGGTAAAGAAAATTATGAAAAATAAGAACAAATGAAGCAATAAGAAGCACACATGGTTCTACTCAAAGTGATGGTCCACTAACTAGCAGTCAGCTCCCGAAACAGTGGCTCATGTCCAGTGTTGCCATAACTCCATCCATAGAGTGCGAGATTTTAAACTGAATCAGCTGCTCCAGATATTGTCCATTGCTTTTGATATCTGTTAAAGAGAGATCCTTAAGACTGAGAGATGTAAATGCATGCAAGGTCCTATATAATATGAAAAAAGACACATTTGCCTATATGTATTTCTCAATCAAAAATCATACACCAACCAATGATATTTTTTCTGCTGTCAAGACCAGTCTACATTTTTAAAAAAAAGTGATCTTTATTTGTTTATTAACACTTTCCAAACTTAACAAGCTTTTAGTATTTATAATGTTGACATAGTTTCTTTCAGTGATAATGTAAGCATACAAAAATTTTTTCAAGACACAGAACTGCTTGAGAGTATTTTGGCACTAGTTTGGGTATTATTTCATCTTTATCATCATCATCTCTTACCCTTCACATTTTGTCTGACAGATGAGGTGCATGCACAAGGTTGAAAGTTAACTGTATACAGTTCAAACTTCTGCTTATTATACCATGTTTCAAGAACATCAATCACTATTTTTACTACCACTGCATAGAAATAATTGCATATGATGTGTTCTTTCTTAAAAGTGGTCAGTATCAGCTAGTATTCGTCACAACTAAAAATTATCTCCAATAGATGTGGGAAAATGACAAATCAAAGAACGAATGATGCAGGTTTAATTTCCATTAAATAGGAATTTTTGGGGATTCAAGAAATGGAATGATGTTTCCAAGAAAACAATATATCCATAAATGATAGATCAAGATTTCACTGTATATTTTATTTGTAGCTAAATGCACTTTTTCTTTTTTTCAGTTTCAACATTAAGATGATTTCTTTAACTAATGAGAAATAAATAAATAATAATATAGATAAATAATAGTTTTTATTTTAAGATGATTCATCTAGATTACCAAATTCTACCTGAAATAATCTAGTTAAAATGGATAAAACAAAGCATAAATGATCAAATGATATACTTAACAACAATCATTTGTGTTTACATTTACAGTTAAAATCAATTTGTTTAAAAAATATTGAAATTTCTGAATTCTCAATAAAATTATTTTAATTCAGAATCATCAAATATGATTTTCAAATTTATGTTATTAAAAATTGGAGTGAGGACGATGATATAATTTGCAGAAAGCTTGAAAAAAATTCTGGCTTTAAAACAGTTTAGTTTCATTATACAACAAGATGAGTCCAAGTTTTCAGTTTAGAATTCTTTATTACCACTATTGTTTTCCCCTTTATTTATCATTTGGTAACATAAAAATTATTTAAATATTTTGATTTCAGTAATATTTTTAATTCAGCAGAAAATCATGTTTATTTTAAAGGGGAGAAAAATATTTATTGTTGTAATTATCATTTATTGATTCAATTTTCATTCATACAATGGGGGAAGAAGTAAATTGTAATTGATAATATTTATTATGTCTATTTTTATAATGTAGTTTATTTTCTTTGTTTTAATGCAAATGTTTAATGTAAATTTTATTTATATTTTATATTGAAAATATCTTAAATGCTAAAGTATAATTTTTAGTTCAATACAGTTTAAGTATTTTATTATGTAACTATTAAATTTTATTTTAAAATATTAAATATATAATCTAATATATATTATTTTTTCATACTTTTAGTTGGATTCATATCATTTTCTACACATCTTCAGTTGAAAGACAATATCACGAAAAAGTCACTTTTTAAAAATTAAAAATTGAATTTTAAAATCTAAGTATTGTTTAAAATATACCTTATTCTTCAGATAATCTTTACATAATTTTCTGATGTTTCTATAAAATTCACAAAATCAAAAAAAAAAAAATTAATAATAATAATAATGATTGCATTTTTGTGCAAATAAAAAAGGAGAAAAAAACATCTTTAAATATGTGTTGTCAAGTTTAATCACTTTAAACTTGATTTTATGCACATAAGAAAAGAATAATAATTATAAATGTTTTTGTTTATTATTAAAATTTGAATACTAAAATCTCATTAAAATGATTTTGATTTTTGTATTTTCAGTGTTTTTATACTTCATTGTAAATGTCTAAAAAGAAAAATTTTGTTTCTATATTATAAACCATTCTTATGGTATAAATAAAGTTGTCTTAAAGTTCATTAATGTTTAAAATTAATTATTATAATCAGACTATTTATTTCACAAATATTTTTATGATACATTCATTATTACTAAAGCAAAATATATAAAATCCTATTCTGCAGTATGTTTAAAAACTTTATTTACATAATAGAAAGATATTTTACGAATAAGAGGATTTGAATTGATTTTAAATTAAGTAACAAATTTTATGTAGATGTATGTTAAGATTTTAGTACATTGTACAATGTAACACTATTGTCATATACATCAAGTTACAGGAAACTCGTATAGTTCAAAATCCAGTTAGTTTGTAACTGTATTTTTGTCCCAGCTGGGCATATAGAGATTTACATGTTAAGAAATTTGGTTAGTTTGAAATACATCTAATTCGTAAATTGAAGTGAAAATTCTGTCCAAACTGTGCTATGCATATATTGGCTTGTTTTGTTTGGATTGAACTTCCTCCATACTGTAAGAGAATATACCAAGAACAACTCTAACCTGGTCATTATAGCTTTGCTTTTACAGTAACACATGTTTGGTGTCACCCACAGAATACCTTTTTTTCTCTTATAAAATATGGCTGGGTTTCAGGATTGCAAGATTGGTCTATGAGTAGCAGACTGAGATATTTGTAAGGCTCTAGGCTATTACATTTGGGTGACTTAACTACTGTTTGGGCTACATTTTGAGGAATTCTGCTTTACTTTTTTATAAAACTTATCTGGCAACCAGATATGTGCTGTTTACCTTCATATTTATAATATAATTAATTATTAATGAAAGTAGCATTCTGTATACATAGCTGTATTCTGTTTGTTTAATAAATTATATCAGTTACATGGCATTTGGCATATTGTACAGAAATATGTAAAACTCGAATAATTCGAAGTCGCGAATATTTCGTCACCTGAATTTTGAATGAACAAGGATTTCCTGTCTATACATCTAAAATTGTAATTGTTTACATGTATATAGAATCTCCTTTATTTCTGCTTATTGTAATCATGGATATTTTCATCAGTCATTTAATTGTTATTAGAATTACCATGTTTCGAAACATACGAATTAAAATATATTTATATTTTGTTTATTGAATTTATTATATTAATAGTTATCACTATCTTCAAGTAACTGAGCATTTTAAAAATTTTTTACACAACCCTGACATTAGCCTTAACATTGATAATGATAAGTAATAACTATTATTTTGTCTTAATCATCACTTTAAATGTTAACAATTAAACAAATCATCATTTATTTGCAGTAAAAAAATGCCAGCAATTTAAATAAAGCATATAAGTAAAAAACAAAATGACAGCAATTAAGTATTGTATTGCAAGTACAATACTTAATTGCTGTCATTTTGTTTTTTACTTATATGCTTGATGAATTACATAATAATGGCTATACTTTATAAATTTCTGGGTTCTACAATTTTTAAAATTGTTTTAATATGTCCTTTTAATGTTAGAATTAATAAAACCACATAGTATAGTTATAGTATTAACTGTAGTAATGGTAACTGACTGATCACATTAGTGAATAACATTGTAGATGTTCCAAAATGTTTACAATAAGCATATTCTTCTATATTAACCAAAATCTTTATTATTAATAATGAAAAAAATAAAATACTGTTCTCAATATTTAATTTACATGTTTAATATAAGAAAATGGCTTTGTATATGTGTGTGTCTGTTTGAGCTGGGGAAAAATAAGTGTCAATTGAATGCATCACTATGGCACTTTTGTCACTAAGGATTTTTTGAAGTAGTGTATGGAGACCATATTGTACATTATCACACCGAATATCAGAGGCATCACACGAGATTACGGGATCAATTATGGCTGGCCGTCAATTACATTTTATATTATCAGAATGAGAACTAAATTGAGCAGTATCCTCTGCATTGCTAAGGTCTTTGTATAACTTTGTCTAGGTCAAATTTGGTTGTATTTGGACTGTAAATATTTCTAGATAGTATTGAGTAGGGATACTTTAATTACAATCACCCAATATGTATAGTATGACCTCAAATTATACAGTGATTACCTTAATTTATTCAAAAGACTTCCATCTGATTTAATAATCAGCATAATGCTTTCACATTAAATTCAATTAGAAACAGACGGATGGCATTCGCACACACCACTCTCTCACTAAGAAAATATCAATATAATCAGACACAGAAATTTAAGTAAATTATTTCAAGAAAGGAGAGAATGTGTTTATTTCTGTTCTCCAAAGATAACAGTAATTATCATTCATGGGGAATTTCAGATATTGATAATGGTATAGGACTACACACTGTATCACTGTCTCGATTTCTGATGTGAAAATGGAATATCATTCACATTACTATCAATAATTACTTTGTTAAATATAACATTTTACTGACTTGGAAAAGTAGTTTTTAAATTTTTTAGATGATATAATAAAATTTAGTCTACGAAATGAATAGATTAGTATTATTCTTAAATAGAAATTGTATTTAATTCTAGTAGATATAATTATTTTTATGGATTTTTTTTTCTGTTTAAATATATTTTCTTAGGACTTACAATTTTTATAGTAAATAAATAAATGTAGTAAATCAAATGAAATATGAAACAGTTGGATTAACATTTAAGTTGAGTCACAAACTGGTTTGAAGGATTCATCCTGTTTTCACGCAGGATTACTCATCTCTTTCAAAAATTCTCTATTTATTATTCTAAATAGATGACTAATTTTACATCTATTTTATTCATTTACGTGGAAAGTAAACAAAATTTTCTACGAAGCTTAAAATATTTCACAATCCATTAAACGTCGACCGTTCTTGGTCAGGAATTGTTATCGATTAGCGAGAGACATCAGTCTATTTTTAAATATCTGCAAATGTTGATGGTAAAAAAAAATGTCGATATAAGTTGAGTAATCGATCTTTAAAAGTTTTATTTTTTTAAAGATTTATTTCGAATAATTTTAAAGCGATTTTACGTCGTTGAAATCGCCATTTTATAGTCAAGTTTCTTTACGCTTCGTTAATATGACATACGAATAAAGCGTGTTTCGCTACAACAGTTAGAAGTACGAGGTCTTTCTCTCTCTCTCTGCTCCGCTAATCAAACGAAAATCTCCAGAATAAATAAAATTTATATATATTTTTTTATGATAATTGTAATGCTGGACATTGTAATTCTATTTAAGTGAAATGAAATAAATGAGAAATAAGACTACGAATATGTTTGACCTGTTGAAATATTTAAATGTTCTGTAATAAATTACGCATGTTAAATGGCCTATTTGCGTGTGTATTAAAATTTATCATATGAATTAGATTTATATATTTGTCCCAGTTTTTTTTTTATTATTCTGATTATATTAACATATATATGCTAATTCGATTCATTAAAAACATAAGTTTTGTGTCTTAATTAGTAAATTTAGTTTATTTTTTTTTGTATTTAAATTATAATATATATTTATTTAATTTGGCAAAGGTTTAAGAGAAACAATTAAAAACAATAATGATAAAACAACTTTGTAAGAAACAGGATGCTTACACACAATAGACGATTTGTTTAAAGTCTGTCTCTCTCATTTTTTTTTTCTCTTCTCAATGCTAAATGATTCTATATTTTGCACAAAGTTCTGTGGAGGTAAAATTAATATTAACAGACACACACATTGACATTAGTGAACATGGAAAAATTTCATTTCGTTTTATTGACACAACTGTTTTACTACTATTGTAAATTTTTAAAATAAAATCGATGGTTTAAGAATAGAAAAATGATTGTTTTCGGATAAAAAAAAAAACGATTTTATTTATTGCTTTTTAATCTCAATAATTTTGTATTTAATTAATTAAACTGACCATATTTTTCTTTCGTCAAAGGAGGACACCTACTGGTACTTGACAGTTATTGCGTTGAGAATGTAATGATTATGCGAAAAAATTATTACATGTAATAATGTAATTATTACATTACAGACATTATGACTACGTATCTGCATTTATCATATGATCAAAATGTTTTTTTTTATCATTCATAAAAGAATAGGCATTGTTCTTCCTTGTTTTTGTGCAAAAAACACATGTTCCAACTACCGAAAAGATTGACCATGCGGAGGGGAATGAAGTGACATAACATCGGTGTAAATACAATATCTGTTATGTAACAAAAAGTGTATTTTATAAGAGCAACAGAACTGTTTTTGAGAGAACCAAAGATGAAAAATATTTTTTATATAGCTGTATATTTAATAGTAGTAGTTACGTTTCGAATGGGTGTTAGTAAAGGGCGTAGAGTAAAAACCTTTGTTACTAAAAATAAACAAAAGAAATCACATAATAGGTTAAGATTTTATGCAAACGTGGTAGAGTGAATTTTCTGAGAACATAGAACATATTATCAATGTGTGTGCAATAACGCAATGTACTGTACTGTACATACGAACATCAACAAACGGAAATGACAATTTTGCACATAGCATTTACACTGACGATGTGCTGAATCATGTCGCTAATACGATTTTTCAGAATTATTCCAAAAGCGAGCATGAATTGCCGTGGTTTCCCTAAATTGAAAATTATGTAAAATCATTCGTTTGATCATTTAGCGGAAAATATTCATTAAAACGTTTAACCATTTACTATCATGCTTGAGATTAGATCTTCATTTGAGAGGATGATAATTTACCGGACAAATATATTATTTATTCATAGTTAATATAGTTTGTTTTGATTTTATTTTTTTTTTACTTTATATTAATTAGATTAATATACTTGAGGGCTTATCACACCGGTGAACGAGAATTAAATTACAGTCTCTAATGTCTCTCTACAATGAGGTATGGCTCTTTTGACTATATATTGTATAGAAGACTTAAAATGAATTTCGAACCTATACGTTCATCTTCAGTTAGTGTTTATAAAATTATACAAATACAAGCTATAAATTTATACAAAATATAAAATTAAATTGTAACATTAATGTATATTTTTTATTATATAAAAAGCCCT